ATGTAGACCGATATGGATCAAGTGATATCTACGTTAGCGTGATACTCTGGCTCTTACTAATGTTCCTTGAGTAAATTAAGGATAACATTAGGCTTCCTTATAGTGTCATTAATAGCTAACCGACCTTTAGAACCTTTAATTGACTCATCCTAAGCCATTAGAAAGTAGTGAGATAGTTGGCTTTGGTTCCAACCGAAGATTGGTTGATACTCGATGCTACACTCATTGAGATTGGACTTTTGGGATATTTTGGCCGCAATACTTCGGTGCTTAAGCTAAAACGATGCCTAAAAGAAAGGTCAATGATATGAGACTCCTTAGAACCCGATTACTTTTCTAAGACAGGTTGAACCAACTAAACTTCAAGAGAGTACTTGCCTATAAACCCCATGCAAGCCTAAACCTAAGGTCTTGTGTGTGTTTCTTGTGTATGATTAAATTATTCAAACATAACATCATGCATCATAACATCCATTCTCATTTCCCTAACCATATCAAGGTCCTCTAGGGCCTGTGATGCAGGTTATGATGAACCAGACGTCTAGCAAGGGGCAAGGGGATTTATTTTCCTCTAGCCAATGTCGTTAAAAGACCAAAGTACAACAACTCGAGTAAGAGGCTATAACCCACTCGACATGGTGAGCTTGATTCTCGTAGAAGGACATTCAACGATACGAAGTTCTTTGATCAAAGTTGCAATCAAAATCCAAACATTTTCTTGTGTTTACCCCACGAGATTCTTGAAAACATCACATAAACATGGCATACATATCATTTTAGGTATTTCAAGGACAAGTTTCTTATCTTTTCGTTGTTTATTTCAATAAAAAGAAATGGCTCTCGAACAGAATATTAAATACCTTTAAACCCAGAATGCTCAATTCCAGCCGATGTTCCTGGTTCTGGTTAAGGGACAAGAGGACCTGAAGGCTCTCATTCTCAAAGACAAGAAGAAAAGGCCAAGAAACCAATGGGTGTCTTGAATATGGGAAAGAGACTCAGAGGACCGACCAAGTGAGCTCTAGAATTTGCAACTTCGTCAAACGAGGGAGACAATCAGGAAGAGAAGCCAAAACAAGAATAACACAGCCCAGGGACCAACGAAGAAGAGGATGATTACGCGGAAGAACAATATCCTCCTGCTGATGACAAATACAAGCAGCTGGAGTATCGTCGCAATGCCATGGAAATTCAGAGGGTACCTGGTCTGGATTTTGAAGAATTAGGGCTGGTTTTTGGAGTGGTCATCCCACCAAAGTTCAAGGTTCCCGCGTTTTCTAAATATGACGGGGTTTCATGTCCTAAACTGCATCTGAGGTCTTATGTCAGGAAGATCCAACCTCACACCGCTGATAGGAATTTGTGGGTGCATTTCTTCCAAGAAAGTTTATCGGGGACTCAATTGGAATGGTTCTATCAGCTGGAGGGAACCAACATATGCACCTGGGAGGATCTGGCTACTGCTTTCTACAAGAAGTACCAATACAATGCTAACCTCGCTCCAACCAATACTCAACTTCAAAGAATGTCTATGGGTTCTAGCGAGGGCTTCAAAGATTATGCCAAGAAATGGAGAGATCTTACAGGAAGAGTCCAACCTCCTCTGTCTAATAGAGAGCTGGTAGATATGTTCTTGGGTACATTGTCTGGTCCATTTTTCAACCACTTGATCGGAAGCTCTTCGGCTAGGTTCACCGAGAAGATATTGACAGGTGAAAGAGTAGAAGCTGGAATCAGAAGTGGGAAAATTCAGATGATTGTGTCTTCAAATGCTGTGAAGAAGCCTTTCAATGGGAAGAAAAAGGCTAATGCTATGTACGGCCAGAAGGGTCATGGTAAAGAATATCTCCATCAAGTTATGGGGGCAGTTATAATTTTTAATCCTACACCAGTGCGACAATAAAAACAGGGTAATCATCAAAGGCAAGACGAGCCCAAGAGACAGTATACCAAAATCAACATGCGGTTGTCTCAAGAATTGCAACACATGTTGAGGATGAATCTGATTACGTTGATAGAACCTCATCCAAACCTAAAAACTTCTTCTCCTAACTACAATCCCGATGTAAGGTGTTCTTATCATTCTCGCAGTCCTGAACATGATACAAACGATTGTTGGGCGCTGAAACACAAGATTCAAAATATGGTTGACGCCAAGGAGATTGAATTCGACCCTTCTGAGACTCCCAACGTGATCATTGCTCCCATGCCAATCATGGCCAAGATTGAGAGCGTTTCTTTCATTTGAATTCTCAATTTGTAATTTCTTTTGATTGTTCGAACACTTATTTTATGTCAAACTTTTATATTCCATTAATGCATTGCATATGTTTGTCTTGAATTAATCCATTCATTTTCACTATACCGAAAATATGCTTTTACTTCCTTTTTGTGATATTCAAGTCTCGATTTAAAGCTATAAGCCTTTAGAGGGAGGATGACGATAACGATACCATAATCTCATACAATATGCTTTTGAACAGACCTTGCTGACGATGTACATGCGTTGTTTCAAATCCTAAATAGTGGAGTTATAAGGAAGATAATCCCTAGTCAACCCATTTGATCCTAAGAAGTAGGAGTTTTCTTTTTTAAGCTGTAATACCCCAAATTTGTCCTATCATTTTACTTTTATCTGGTGTAAGCTTTTGCATTCATCTGCATATATTCTACTAGGTCACTAACATGGCATACATTTACATTTAATAAGGCACTTGAGGTTCAAAAGTTCAATGATCATGCAAGTAGAGTTTCACAGTGGTTGAGGTGTACGTGTCCAATAAAGATGATTCATGTGGATATGGTGGTTCTCATTAAGCAAAATAATGATTTCATTGAATGTTATTCTATGGCAAGTGTCATGGATGGGGTTTCTTGGTAGGTTTCCTTGGAAAGGGAAGATGTCTTGATAAAGTCAACTTTTTGACCCAATCTTTGAAATCTCTACTCGTATTAAAAAAAACAATGGCTATTGGTATTGGTGCGCATCATGGAGAAGAGGATTTGAAATATATTCATTTCGCAGTTGACCAAGTCTTGTGAAACTCTTTCTCTACTTTAACCATAAAAATTGGCTATTATCCATTTGATCTAGTTCAATTAAATACATTGGTTTGAAGTGCAAGAGTGGGGATGCTTTCATTTGGCTAGAAAGCTGACTTTTGAAGGATGATTTTTATATACCAAGTCACGTGGGAAATATATTTGGATTTCTACTTGGCATTTGAATATGTTTAAGTATGAAGAACATTTGAATTCAAAAATAGAAAGAAATTTCATTACTTGGAATTCAAGTTCCATAAGAAGCCATCACAAGGAAAATGGAATGTCAACATACAAGAAAGAAGCATTTTGAATGTTCGGGAGAATACTTCATTTGAATTTAAGGAGTTCTAAGGTCATTCAACACTTGATTCAAGAGATCTTTCCTATTAATAAGTGAAATACCAAATTACATCCCCTTTTCAATTATATTACATGATTAAGGAAATTACACAAAATTTGGTTTGGGCCTAATTTTCATCCTAAGCTCTATCATGACTTCATCCTGTTGACACTCCATGCCATTCCCAAGAGTTTCTCCAACTATCTTCATGCTTCTTCCAGAAGTTCAACAACTTCACATGTTCATCAACATTAAGCACATTAAGCCATGGCTCAAATCAGTCTTGCACAACCAGGACAAAGAATTTAGTTAATCATAACCCTGCTACAGAAAATGGAAATAGAAGGAGAATCAAGTCAGAAAAAAGCAGTTTTTAAAAACCTAGAAGAAAGCTTTAACTAATTTGCAGTTCAAGCCAACCCTATTCTACCAAATAACTCTAATTACCAGTTTCAAAATTAACATTTCAAGTTTACTATCGTTACCTCCCTTCAAAATCCATGACTTATAACCCTACACGAAAATCATCCAAGACAGTCCCAAAATCACTTCATGGACAATGCATACACGCGCTCGTTCAATCCAAGTGCAAGCCAATTAAACCTGCATTTTCAAAGTCAATTTAGAAGAGGTGCTCACCAAAAACGGGTCAGACAATCAATACGGAACTAAAATCCAGTTTAGAAAAAACAATTCACAAAACAAATTATTAAAATCCCTTTTATATCCTCCAAACAGTGCATTCAATTCACCCAAAATATCATCCAAATAATGAGTCCTTTAACTTTTGAACTCATCCTAACTGAATTCTGTTTTCACTCTTAATTGTCCCTAACAAACTGTCAAAAACAAAAACAACTAACATAATACCAACATGCGCCAATTTACTTCATTGATGTTCAATTCATTTGAGATTCAGACTCAGAGCAATGCGATTAATATGGGAACCCGCGATTCACTTCACTCAGTAATTCGATCAAAAAGCAAGCATAACATCCTACACATAACCTGCACAGATTCAAAGCTCAGAGGAGTAAAAAACTCTACTAATAGAATAACCAACCATGCATAACTAACAACCCATTCCAAACAACCCTTATTAATAGAAAAAAGCCCCTAACTAACTGCTCTAACCTCTAACATAACCACCTATAACTGTTTCCAACCATTCACAACCCCCTAACTATTTTCTAAACCAATTCCCGTAACAGTTTCCAACCAACTTCATAACAGTTTCCAACTAACTTCTAAATTCCTAATCACCTATAACAGAAAACAACCTGTAACAAATCCTAACAATCATAAAACTGTCATAAAACCAACCTAACTGAAACAGAATTTCAGCTCCCTAACTAACCTATAACAGAATTCTAACTATCCTAACAAACAAACATAATCATAACAAGCCCTAACATATAACTAACTCAAATCCACTCTAACTAACTTCCGACTCTACTTAACTGTCACCTAACTGATGGAAATCTCACTGTTAGTCTCATAACTGAATCCTCTAATCCCATGGCTCAGATTGATTGATCCCCAACTGATTCTAAATCTCTATCAACTATATAACCTCTTCATCACCTTCAATTTAGAGGACCTTCATCTTCACCACATGCCCAACCTCAAACTCTTTCTGATTCTCCCTTCGTGGCCTTGCTTGCAATCTGCTATCTCTCACCTTCTTCACCATCCTCACTCTGCAATAAATCTCATAACCTTCTTCTCAAACCTCCATAAACACACATCCCTCTTCCATAACCGAATTCCATCATCTTCATCTCCAACACACTTGCATACGGAGTATTCACAACATCACTACCGTAACAAAAATGCAATAATTCAAAAGAAAAGAAGAAGAGTTTTAGAAGGAAAAAGAGAAGAAGAAGCATAGGAAGTGAAAATGAGCGTTTACCTGAAGATTATCCTCTGGTCTTCTTGCACTATTGGCTCCTTTGAAAAGCCGCCAGAGCTACTCCGGCAGGTAAGCTCCAATTATCTTCATTCTTTTGCTCCTCCGCTCTTTTTTTCATGTGATAGTGTAGATTGAACATAGTGGAGTAGAATCCCTAAAGTGTCAAAGATCAATTGAGCGTAGGGATTATCCGATGTAGCTTTTAGGTTTCTAGTTTTCCTGTTCTTGATATGAGGTGAAGATGTTAAAATCAAAGGGAGGGAGGAAAACGGTAAGGGTGAGTTGCTAAAGGACGATGCCACTGCATTTTCGATCAGAGCTGATCGCGCCGGAAGACTCTAGATTGTCGATGTTCATATTCAAGAAGGAGAGGAGAAAGGTTAAACAAAGAAGAGGCTGTCTCGAAGAATCTGAAGAGTCATAACCTAACTCCTATCCAAACGGCACATTTCTGCTTATGATTTTGTTATTTTGCATATTGTTTTATTATTAATGGATAAGAGAGAATAAAACTGAGGATGGTTTGGGCTAAATTGGTGTTGAAGAAATTTCGTTGGGTTTGTTCTTGAATTGTTGGTTTGGCATGTTTCTACTTTGTTTTTAAGTCATGTTAGCTTATAACAAAAATGCTGATGGATTAGTTTTTGGGCCTAGCGCCTGATTCCTACAATGCACCCTCCTGAAATTCAACTCTCACTCCCTGTTTCTCTTACCTTCCTTTTATATTTTTAAATTCTTTCTTACATGATCTTTTTTTTAATAACAAAAATACATAATAAAATGGTAAAATATTATAAGACATTTTAGGAATTAAATAGGAATTAATTTCCCCCTTTGCTAACTTTTTAGTCAATTTTAACTACGAGTTTTACTCACTTTATGCCATGTATTTTGTTTGCGATTTTTGGTATGGATTGTATGCTGTGATGCGGTGGGAGAACTGACTAGATGTTTTGCGTTTTATCGCAAATGTTGCGGTTTAGCAAGAGTCGCCACCGACTTTTATTTTATCCAAAAAGGAAAGGTGAAAAAGAACATGAAAGACCTTTAGAGATGTTTTCTTGAGTTCGGGGGGTAGATTATGAAAAGGGAAGGTATTAGCAACCTTTTCATCCATGGTTTTTTATGGGCTCTTAGTTACTCGTTTTAGATCACTTGCTTTCATTTGATTGTGTGCTTGTGGTGTGGGCTTTGAAAGTATTTTGAAAATATCCTTGTAATGGTTCTCGTCTCTATGAGAACATATACAAAGTTTTGTTTTGAAAGATAGTTCAAAGGTGTAATTGTGGATTGTGATTTGGAAAGTGGTTTTCGGAAAGATATTTTGCAATAGTTCTTGTCTCTATAAGAACGTATACAAAATGTTTTATCTTTTGGAAATGTTTTGAAATAAGAGTGTTGATGTACAAAAGTGTTTTTTTGTAGTTGCAAGCAAACAAGTAATTAAGTGCGAAACTACCTACTCAAAAGGTCTTAAATGTGCATTTCCTTCTCCTTTAGATGTGGCTATCTTACCATTATTTTGGTAAGAAGTACCATCATTGGATGTGAAGGGACGGGTGTAGGGACGTTTGCGTAGTCATAGAAGGCAACTCACGGAACGTTTTAGCAATTTCGTTTAGGGACTAGATCGTTTATCGAAGGCAACATCGAGGGTCATCGAGGGACCACGATCTTTTATCGAGGGTCTTTGCTAAAACGTAAATGTTCGAGGAACATGACTATTTTCCGAAAGGGGACAAAGTGAGATTACCCTAAAGGTGTTAGTGTGCTAGTTAGTTTGCATGCATTTGTCTTTGATTTTTGGTGAGCTACTTGTTAGTTTTTTTATCTTATCATACATCTTATTTTACTAACCATATATGAAAAGCAAGTAAAAATGAGGAAAATAAAATCTAAGATATTACATCATTTTAGAGGGATGGGGGTACAAATTAACAAAAGGGATGAGGTAGAAACTAAAATATTAAAACCATATCGAACAATAAAGAAGATAATGTAAAAACAGTGCAAAATATAGGAAGAAATGCATTTTGAACCACTATGTGTCGACCCATACTGCTATGCATCGACACATAGCTTTTCGCTGCTCCTGTAAAACAAAAATGACTCAGTATGAGTCGACACATAATGGGTTTTCTCGACTCATGCACCCTTCTTGTGTCAACACGAAACACGTATGTATCGACTTATAAGCCCTTCTAGCTTTTGCTCTGTGACCTGAACTCAGTATGGATCGACGCATGAGGGTTATATGTCGACTCATACCCTATTTTTTCACTAGGATGGGTCGATACATGATGGTATGTGTTGATGCAAGTTACATTTTCCTGCCTTAAACAATGTTTTACTGATTGTACATGTTAGTTTATGGCATATAATGAATAAGCATGAACAACAAATGATTGAATAAGCCTAAACAAGGTGCAGATGGCTAGTTCCAAAATATATTAAAGTGCTACATCTTGTCTTCAAAATAAACAAATCATTATTGATGTATGATGAGATATCAAGTTAAGAAGACTTACCTCTAGATTGCACTGTCTGTTTTGAATATGAATGTTTTTCCAAATGTGATGAGGATCTCAATGAATCTCCAGAAAGCTACTCCAGACTGTTGAAACTAAGCTGGACTGTACTGTAATGTTTTTGGTGTTTTGAGGATAGGGATGAACAACACTACAAGGACTGTTTTTTGGTTATGTTTGGACAGTCTTTGAGGAAGAGTTTGTATGGTGGAGCAATGAGTTGGGCTTTTGTTTTGAATAAGAGCAGTTTTGGTTTTGAAAATGAGTCAAAGTTGCACAGAATATTGTTTTTCTGCTCAACGAAACTCTCTATCTTTTCTCTAGAAAATTTTCCCTCTCCTCAAAATCCAGCCCCTCCCCTTTGTCTTATGAGACACTCCTCTTTTGTATACCACTTGACTATGGTTTAGGGGGGGAAAACAAATAAGTCATTTTGAATTGTTTTTGCCTACTGCTTTGATACTTTCTGCACACAATTTTCCTTTGCCATTTTGGTGCAATTTTGGGGCTGTTGTGGTGCTGGTTTGGGCAGACTGCATAGAGCAGTTTTGGACTGTATTGGGCAGCATGTATACTTGGGATGAAGCATTGCACAAGCTTTCTTGTAGGGAAGCCTGGGGTGTTGTGGCATATCACATTTTATTCAACTTTGGACAACATAGTTTGTAGCATGTCACAAATTTGGTCTTGTGCACATTATGTCAAAGGCAAAAATATTGTTACAAGGTTTTAATCAAGACATAGTTTTAGAATTTGTAATTTTGCAAAATGTCACTTTGTAATAACTTGAATTACTTGCATCATCTTGAATTATTTGGAGTGGTAGTAAAATGCCACGAAACAAATGAAATTAACCAAGTATAGAGAATACTTAGAAAAATCTCAAAGTCTTGCAAAGTTGGATTTTTGATTCTCTTGACTTTTGATGATCAAACTTCATTTTTTTGGATGTCTTAACATAATGTGATTTTTGGGACTCAAATTTGATCCAAAAGTCAAAGTTTGACTTTTTTAGTGTCCAATTGACTTTTCCAGCAGAAACTCCAATTTTGCTCATTTTGCCCCCTTTTGATAATTTGAATGATTCTTCTTAGAAAATGTGGTCCGAGGCTTGAAACTTGACTGAAGTAATTCTAAGAATCATTGAGACAGGAGAGGGAAAATTTTAGGGTACAACAGCTGCCCCTGTTCAATCTTTTTAAACCTGAATAGTTAGATTGACATGTTTTGCCAGTCGTGACTCGAAGGTGGAAGAAGATTGAACACAAGAGTGCCCAGAAATTTGCACTTCATGATGTGATGGTTAAGGGAATAGGCTTAAAGAATCCATTTGGAGAGGTGATAGAAAGTTGTTGGATATGGGCTTAAAGATGCCATCCAGGAATTATTGTTGAATTGTGTCTGTAAGCTGAAAATGAATGAGTATCAGAATGGCGTCCGTGTCTGGAGTGTATCTGAATTGTATCTGAAATCTGAATCTGAATGAGTATCAGGATGGCATCCGTATCGGGAGCGTATCTGAACTATATCTGCACTTGAAATCTGAATGAGTATCAGAATGGCTTTCGTGTTTGGAGCGTATCTGAACTGTATCTTGAAATTAAGTCTGAATGAGTGATATAATGGCTTCCATGTTTGGAGCATATCTGTACTGTATCTGAACTTGAAATCTGAATGAGTATCAGAATGACTTCTGTGTATGGAGTGTATCTGGACTGTATCTTGAAATTAAGATCCGAATGAGTAACATAATGACTTCCGTGTATGGAGTGTATCTGGACTGTATCTTGAAATTGAAATCCGAATGAGTAACATAATGACTTCCGTGTCTGGAGTGTATCTGTACTGTATCTGAAATCTTTGAATACTTGTTAAAGATAGCTGTTAATCTTATCCTGTTGAGGGTAAAATGTTAGCTGAAACACAAAGTTATATTGCATGAAATGTATGATGCAATAAATGTGTTTTATCCATGTTTATGATATATGTATGTAATGTATGCGCATGTAAGCTGATTTGCTGTATTGCTGAGAAAAATAAATCCATGACTACTGCCGGGGAAAATAAATCCTTGACTGCTGAGAATTCCATTGTGAGAGCAATGCCATATACTTCTTGAGGAATATGCCTGGGGAATCCAGAGAATTTTAATGACTTCTACTGGGGATTATTGACAGGAGTCTTTGTTCTGTCGAGAAGCAATAAAAACTCTGTGGGGAAAAAGTTTATTCTGTAGTGAAAACTCTGTGGGGAAAAGCTTAATTCCGCTGGGGAGTTCAGGAGTTTGGGTTGTATGCCAATCTACTGGGGAGTTACCCTAGGTTGGGGAGAAACAAAAGTTAACTGTTATCTGGTTGATTTTCGAGCTTCAAGACAACTTGCTGGGGAAACCCGGAGAAACTGGATAATTTCCGCTGTGGGTTGATAGTTTGAAGTTTCGGCTCCGCTGGG